TTCAACGTAGAGCCTTTAAAACCACAAAATAAATTCTGAATATTTTTCTAGAAAACGCTGGTGCTGACCTTTAAGTTTAAGTTATGATACTTCCCAAATATTCAGTTCCCACATATTTATAGGTCTTAACATGACCCCCAAATAAAAATAAAAGCTTAAAGCAACTCAAGTTATAATTTAAATAACGTATGACTTGTACTGAGAACCACTGCAATAAATCAATATGTATAAGGAATTTTATTCAGTGGAGTTACTTATTAAAACTTACTTTTATTTAGAGCCTTAAGTTTTTGTAAAGGTGTAGCAGAGATGAGTTCTGTGACTCTGAACCAAACTCATATCTAAGCAACATTTGAATCTTAGTTTGAACAGAAAAATGTAAACCATATTTTACTGCAACTTTGCCAATCCCCCCCTCCAAAATTGCTCTCGAAAAATGTCCCTGTTTATGGTCCGCCCCCCAATAATGAGATGGGATCTACGCCCTGGAGTGGGGTTAATCCACTTTTATATGCTCAAATTTACCTGAAAGTATGTGACTGTTCTGGTTGAACCTATTTGTTTGCAATACACAACTGTCTTTAGATATGTTCCACCTTGTTCCACCCATTTAGATGCTAATATTTTGATCAGCTTCAGCTTTTCCTGAGTGAAGCTGCCAGCCTTAGGCTGAAATCACACCATTTTTGTTTTGCTTAAACAGTTTTGCAGTAAGACTTGATCACAGGAGTGGTGCAAATTGTTGGAGAAAAAGGTGGGGATTGACCTTTTTTAATTATAGCAAAAAAGGTTTGTAGTAGAAACAGATTTTTTTCTTTTTTGTGTTTGTTTATCTTTAGCAAAGAGTGAAATAAAGACATTTAATTAAACTTAATTTCTGAAGCTCATTTCAATAAGAAAAACATGTTAGTGTGTTTTGTAGCACTATGAATGAAATCTTTATATTTTCTGTTTGTATTTTAGGGATACATGTCTATGTATGTGTTACATGTCTATGTATGTGTTACATAGACATGTACACCTTGCTTATATTAAATTAAAACTTTCCTTAAAACAATTTTAAAATACTCGTATTTCTAGTTTCATTTTATGCATTTAAATATTAGTTTATTGTTGTACCTCTGATTTCGTGCTTTGAGTCACACTGAAATACATTTTGGTGTGTGCAGGCAGATGTTAAATGAATGTCCTTACCTGGTTGTGTAACTTGTTGAATAATCCATTATTTTTTTCTGAGCTTAAAAAAAATATGTGTTTTTTTGTGTTTTTGTAAGGGCTGTGGTGTGGTGGGCGTTTATCTGCACTGTGTGGTCAAACATAGTGTAGCAGTCAGAGAGTTGGAGCCATGGCTGGAAACCAGGTGGCCTTGTCAAAACTTGACATCTTGGCGTGTTCAGTGATACATGTGGTGTTTGTGTTTGCGTGTGTGCACATACTTGCATATATGTCGGTGTGTGAGCTGAAAAAAAACAATATGTTTTTTATTGGTAGCTATACGTACTTGCAGGTTTGACACGGCTTCTTTCACTGGACTGCGTACAGCACAGTACCCAGCATTTTACAGTACTAACACCATGCATGGAGTCGTACACGTTTTGTAACAGTCACTTTTATTTTATAAGCTACTTTGTATAAAGGGGGTTTAGACATTATTTTGTAGGATATGCAGGATAAGTGAGGTAGCTTTACCTGAAATGCTTTCTTCCCTTACAGCTAGAATTGAAGCATATTAGTAATGTCTCGATTCTATTAAGTATAATTAAATATGTGTTCTGACATTTCATTGTGTCATCCAAGTTTAAAATATTCTGGTAAAATGTCAAGGTCTCCCTTTTACCCCTGTACATGTCTTAAAGAGGGCTTAAATCCTAACAAAATTGTGTGGAAAAACTGACGTCTTGCAGGGGCATGACTTCGTGAATTATTTTTTCATGTACTTATTTGAGCTGCCTGAAATCATATGTTGGTCCAAAAACTAAAGTGTTTTCAATTTAAGAAAAAGAAAAACGACACATATTTGATTTTAAATTGTGATATGTGAATCACATTCTTTATTTGGTCAAATAATAAGTTGAAATAAGAAACGGAGGTAGTTTTCCTTGTATTTCTGTCGCCAGAGTTATGTCGTCCACTGCAGACTCAAAAGTCACACTGTCATCTGTGTCTTTATATTAGGCTGTATATAGTTGAAAACCAGACCAAGTTTTTTCACATTTTATTTAATAACATATGTAATGAAAAGTGTTTTTTTTTTATTATTATTTCAGCAGAGGATAATTGATTCTGTGTGATTTCTAAAGCCTTTTGTTAAACCTGCCATGACAACTGTGACAGAGAAAGGATAACAAATCTGAAAGCACATATACAATCAATCAGCAGCTGTGCCATTGTATGTATCATTCAGTAACAATCCAATTTAAAGGTTAAGTGCCACTGAGAACAACAGCTGAAGCTCTACAGGTGTATCAAAGGACTGATTTAGAAGCATTTTATGCCACTGTCCATTTTACTAACTTTATAAAAGCAGATTTTTTTGAAGTATACGTAAAGACCTGAATTGTCTAGAAATGTTTATGGAAACTTGTATGTCTTTTTTTATTTCTTGTTTTTTTTTTTTTTTTTCCCAAAGATGAAAACATGGGGTCACACACCAGCTTAGCCAAAAGGACTCAAACACACTAAGAAAACAGGTAGGTGACTGTTTCACCTTTTCTAAAAACATGAACTGAACCAATTCTTGGAGGATTTCCTGTTCCTTTTATCATTCAAAACAAACTTCTTCAACACTTTTAGGGGAAACAATTTAAGTGGATGTTTCAAAAAGGATTACTGTTTTGATTGTAGTTCAGATGTTGACTGACTGCTTAGAATAGATATAGCTGCACTTACTTTTGAGAATGCTAAGCCGTAAAAGTGTAATCGTCATTTTTACTTACCAGAGAGAAAGATTAACATTTAAAATTTAATGTTAATTGTTCTGTAGCCTTAATTTAAGTTCATGCCTAAAAGGCAGTTGTACTCCAGGTCTCATTGCATGTCTTATTTTTTTCCTTGCCAAAGCCCTTTTTGTAGTTTTTTTTTTTTTCTTGACATTATGGGATTCTTCCAAAACTTGCAAGATTATGAGATTTACAAAACTACTTCTGAATTATTGCTCAATGATATTTGCAACATATATATATATATATATATTTATATTTTTTATCAAGCCAATTTTGACTCATCCATATCCTTGTATCGCCAGGGAGCCAATTCAAGCTATATCATAATTATGAGATAGCTATCTCTTAATGATAGATATTAGCTCACTATTATGAGATTGTGGAGGCCTGTGCCGTAGGAGGCCTCAGAGAATGCTTTATGCAGACATTAGTCAGAGAAGAAGCTAAGAGGCCCCTGGTAACTCTGGAGGAGCTATAAAATGCACAGTTGAGAGACGAATTTGTTGAAGAGACATTTACGTTTTAGTCAAAAACCCAATTGCGCTTTAGTTGTGATGTCACAAATCTGATTTGCTTTTTAAGGCAGCGAAAAGAAAAACAAATCATTTTCTTAAAAGGCATAAATTGTGACTGTAGTTTCATAGGACATACATGTGAAAATAAAGTGAAAGGAAAAAAAAGTGCTCTGACCAGATCAGACATTAAATTGACCTTATTGGCCTACACTCAAAATGCAATGTGTGGAAAACTTAAACTGTGCAGATGACCTTAAACACACTAGCCCCTCCTTGAAACACAGTGGTGGCAGCATCATCCTGTGGGGATGCTGTTGTTGGGCTGAAACAGGGAAGCTGGTCAGTGCTGGTGAAAAGATGAACGGAGGAGGCTACATGGAAACCCTAAATGAAAACCTGGTAAAGGCTGCAAAGGTCTCGAGACTGTGGCAGAGGTTAATCTTTCAATAGGACAATATTACCCTAAAAACACAGCCACATCTATAATATAATGGTTTAATCAGAGCATGTCTGTTTGTTAGGGGGATTGGGCTAAGGTTCAAAGTTTAAAACTGTATCAGGACTTGAAGAATGTGATATGATGTGATATTTTATGAATTGGAAAGGGACAAAATTTCAGTCTTGAGGTGGACTTATTTCAGACAATTAGGAGTTCAACATCACTGAATGCTGGCTCTAAAAAGTGCTTGGAACTTCTTTTTACTCATTCCAGAAACTTAGAAAATAAATAAATAAAAACAAGACACTGGTTACTGGAGTCAAAAAATGCAGCAAAAAAAAAAAAAAAAAA